CTAGCTCTGGATGGCCGCCATGATGAGGTTGTTGGCCCGGTAGCTGCGTCTCCGCGCGCAGATGCACGCCACTGTCACCTCCATGACGTCCAGCACGTGGAAGGCGGGGCCGCGGCGCACCCAGACTGGCACCTGCCGCGACACGGGCTCGCACTGGTGGCCCTCCTGCGAGCAGTGTGAGCCGCCGCACACGCACTGCGCCTCCAGGACCACCGGTGGGAAGTACTTGGGCGGGAGCTCGCGACTCACGAAGCGCGTCGGGCAGGCGCCGATGAAGCGCGAGTCAAGGATCCAGGCGGGTCGGAGCTGCACGTCGCCCTTGAGGTTGTTCGGGTGGAGGTCCGAGGTGATCCTCGAGCAGTCGATGCCTTCGTGGAGAAGCTGCGACGTGTGCGCGATCGGGTGTGGCACCTCCCTATACTCCGCCCGCGTCGCCTCCTCCATCTGGTGCAGGAGGTCGGCGCTGAGCTGCTCCTGTGTCTCCTTGATGAACCTCCTCGCCTGCGACCACGAGAACTTCCTCCTGTAGTCGGCGTGCGGCGTGAGGCTGAAGGAAGCGGCCCTCAGCTCAGCCGCCAGCAGGAAGGCGGCGAGGGCGCGCCACAAGAGCGAGTGTGAGCCGCGTGTGGCCATGACTGCGGCCGCTCTCGCACGCCGACGTTTAAGTAGGGCTGAACTGTCTAGCGAGTTGCCGAATGGAACCTTTTGGCTCAGGAATGCCCGATGATACGGATTCCTTCATGCAGGCTATCATTCGAAAGATCATTAAGATATTTGCATATTTCTGCAGAGGTATAACATGGATTTAAACGATATTTACATGTACACACCTACCCATCCACACACACACACACACACACGTTCTGACAGCATCAGAGGTATGATATGCGTACGTATGGATGCACCCGTGGCAGTAACTCACTTATATATGTACACGTGGCCTCCTTATCCGACCCTTTTAGTCAGAGATCATAAACATCTCTAGTACCCACATCTTTTGACATACATCACACTGTTTAGTACTCTCGCTGGCTCATCAAAGAGAAGGCTGATGCACCAAACATTTATCATTCTTAAGATGTACTAAGAAACTGCCTCGTATACAGAGATATGTCAAATACGCACTAATCATAAGGGAGGTTGCAGGACAGCGTGATTTGTCCTCTTTATCCGGTTTGAAATGATCTCCTCAATAGGTCTTAATAGGAAGTGGCTACCATAACGAAGGATTTGCATGACTGATGTTAATCATACAATTCCGTTATGTAATTTTTTAACAGATATAGGCCAAGGATAAGGCCGTGTAACATGGGACGTGACATACTAATGAATGATTTAGTAGAGAGGCTGAATAAGCATCTTCTACTGATCTTATACATCTAGAAACACAAAGTAAGGACGAAAAAATAGCACAATTTCGTCAAGTGACTTTCGAAATCTTATAACACGAAAACAGTTTTCAGTTCAGAGAAACAAAATGTATATACATATATATATATATACATACATATATATATACATACATATATATATACATACATATATATATACATACATATATATATATACATACATATATATATACATACATATATATATATATATATATATATATATATATATATATATATATATAAACACATATATATATATATAAATACATATATATATAAATACATATATATATATATATATATATATATATATATATATATATACATATATATATACATACATATATATATACATACATATATATATACATACATATATATATACATACATATATATATACATACATATATATATACATACATATATATATACATACATATATATATACATACATATATATATACATACATATATATATACATACATATATATATACATATCTATATATATATATATATATATATATATATATATATATATATATATATATATATATACACACACACACACACAAATATATGTATATTATTGATTTACATGTACTGGGTAAGTCATACTTAGATACGGTAGTGTATTTGGTAGCGAGTTGTGAACCACTAACAACTATTGTCTAAACAACTACTCCCTTTGCGAAGGATCACACACACACGCACACGCACACGCACGCACACACGCACACACACACACACACACACACACACACACACACACACACACACACACACATACAGAAACGGGCGCGCGCGTGTATACATAAAATAAAAAATATAGACCACAACCTGTCGCAAGGTGCATTATATTTCTCCTTATAGCGTAAAACAGACACATCTTATTGCGTGACAGGTTACGCACCATTCCCTTGAATTAGAGGAGGTCGACGTGAACTGCAGCAGGAATGCCACCAGGTAAGAACTGTATATGACGCATCCAGATAGCGATGGAAGGAGTTTTTGATAAATTAAGGTATATTAGATCACTGCATATACCACTCAGATATATCATGTAATGTTTTAGATAATAGAAAGTGATTCATGATATCTATAGTCGGCTGGAAGTCATCAAATCTGACAAACCCTTTTCACCTTTTACCTTACTTCGAATACTTCAAGAAAAACACGAATTAAGTTGAATAATTGAGCAATAAAGAATTAATATCTATGTGATGAGCCTAAGATATATATATATATATTTTTTTTTATTTATAAACTTCCTGTAAGTTTTATACACTATTGTAAACATATTTAACTTTTAGGTAACTAAAGAGTCCTTTCTTTTCCTGTAAGGGCTACTAGATGCTTTGTTGTTTGGAACTCAGTCTTATAATCTACTAATCTACTAGTGCTGTGTTGGTAAGTTGATCAGTGTAGGTGTTTCGCTGCTTTACTTTGCTTCAGGATCCCTGATAATTTAAGTGAGGTTACGGCCAAGGTAACGAGCTATAAACTTTCCCTTAGCATGTTAGATTGAGTAAACTGGATGAAATATCATAGATTAATATGCTGAATTATGCTGTAACCTATACAGCAATGAAGAAAAGCATTACACCCTTAGTATAGAGAAAACACATGCTAGTAAACACACGTAAAATTATCTGCACCTTGGTATCAACAACCATTTGCATATAAATAATCTGTTATATGTTTTTTACTGTAGAACACATGATTAATTCAGAAAAGTTCGTTTTTTGAAGCTCTTGCCATGTAAAAGAACAATTGGACTCGTGCGCAACATCATGTCAGGCGTAGCTTAATGCTCTTTTTTCAGAAACGTAAATGTCTGTATGAATAAGATTAACAGCTTGTTCCCATCTTTATGACTGCTATAACCACACGAAACAGAAATCAAGGCAGACTGTAACACCCTCACTGACGCAAAGTAAGTAACACTACAATATGTTACATTCTTGACAAAGCTATCTCACACATTTCACGATTCGGAGATAAACTAACAGTACCCTACTAACTATTAATACCACAGTTGGAAGCGCGGCATACACTCATAAGGGCATATATCTATTGTGTGTCCCTCATTCGCTCTAATTTAATATAGTGTAGCGTATCAAAATTCCATCATTACCAGGGGCGCCTTAGGCAAATAAAGTAGTTTATTTTACCCCTGGTATAAGCCCCATGAGAGGGTAGCGTGGCTAGAGGAGCTTATTTTGGCGTGGGTTTGTTCCAGCATTACCCCCTCCGTCGCACAATAAAGCCTTAACACAATGGAGTAAAAAAAAAATAAAGTTAAAACCATCTTTAAGAATTACGTTAAAAAAGATTAAGAGCAAAAGAAAAGGTAAAAGTAAAATGAAAACTCACTTTAAAAACCGATTTTAAACTCAAGAAAGAAACATGCTGTATAACTTTAAAGTAAAATAAACCATAAAACTTAGACAAAGAAAAGCACTCGTAGCTATTAATTATTGTTATATAAAAGTATGATCACACCCAGCTCCTATAAGCGAGTCAAGGATACATCAGACTTAGCTTTATCTTTTTGTAGCTTCCGGGGGCGTCGAGCCGGTTTCACTCAGAAAAAATAGAAGGAAAAACAAACGCCAGGTCTCTGCTGCGGTCTCTGCCGTACTGTTTACTTTTCGTGGCCATTGGGGGGTGAGGGGGTGACGGTGACGTCACTATATACAGATTTACAAATGGAAAAAAAAATAAAAGACCTGCCCGTATTGATAAATGATAGGTAATTTACTTAAAATGAGACTAAAATATAAAACCACAATAGCCAACATGAGTAAAATAATAGATAAAAATAATAATTGTAAAAATGGTCACCCTAATCACTAAAACACTTATATGATTTATGCAAGATTAATTAAAACAAGGAAACTAAAGGATAATTAAAACTAGGGCTGCCGACAAAGATCTGCACTTAAAAAAGTAAAAAGTAAGCTAATTAAAATGAAACGAAAACCAAAGAAAATGTACAAAAAATGGGCAAACTAAAACTAACAAAACCACGAAAACCAAGGATAAAACTACTAAAGATACGAGTAAAAAGGGGGTGCAATCCGGCAGGTGGAAGAACGCCGTGACGGGAAAGTGTAGTTTGTCCGACCTGGGATGGTTTGTTCCCTCGAGCCCGATCGTACTATGTTAACACTAGTTTTGTCCCCTGGTAAGACCCAATTAATATGGCGACGAAATTATTTCACGTTTTCATCTCGGTATTTTCGATCTAAACAGAAAATTCCTGACAAGTCCCAGGGTTTTATCCGCCATCATCATAAAAAACGGACTGGAAAACCATACAGTATACATTAAACTAGTTTTGCGACTGTTGTGTAAATCTGAACACACATTTCTAATATTTTAGGAAAGTTCTAATGTCTAAGTAGCTGAAGTCCAAAATTACATGATTATTACTTATGTTATCGATTTCTTGAGGTTAGATTATGAGAATTATAAGATTATATATATATATATATATATATATATATATATATATATATATATATATATATATACATATATATATGTATATATGTATATATGTATAACATATCCATAAATTTATATATTTATATATTTATATATATGTGCGTATATATATATATATATATATATATATATATATATATATATATATATATATATATATATATATATATATATACATATATATATGTATATATATATATATATATATATATATATATATATATATATATATATATATATATATATATATATATATATATAAACATATATATATATATATATATACATATATATATATATATATATATATATATATATATATATATATATATATATATATATATATATATACATATAGATATGTATATATATATATATATATATATATATATATATATATATATATATATATATAAACATATATATATATATATATATATATATATATATATATATATATATATATATATATATATATATATATGTATATATATATATATATATATATATATATATATATATATATATTTATATACATATGTATATATACATATATAATATATATATATATATATATATATATATATATATATATATATATATATATATATATATATATATATATATATATATATATGTTTATTTACGTACAGGGTATATATGTAACTTTTATTTATATATTATATATATTATATATATATATATATATATATATATATATATATATATATATATATATATATATATACACACATACACACATATATACATACATATATACATGTGTGTGTATATATATATACACATGTGTGTGTGTGTGTGTGTGTGTGTGTGTGTGTGTGTGTGTGTGTGTGTGTGTGTGTGTGTGTGTGTGTGTGTGTGTGTGTGTGTGTAAATATGTATACATGTATATATACACATATACACACATGTGTAGAGAGAGCGGCTAGGCGAACACAGTTCTTTCTACGGTTTTTCCAGTCCTGTCCTGGACAGTTATTGTAAGCATATGGGAAATTCACTTAGATGTATATTTTCTTATTTGAGATTGAGTTTTGTTGTTGTTGTTGTTGTTTTTGTAAAATAC